TTTTATTAATAAATAATGTTCATGTATGTATATCCAGATACCAAAAAAACCTCAATTAAATCCCCTTCTGTTATCCACTTGCTGTTGAGAGAGAAGCAGTTTCCAGGATGCTTTCGAGTATATCATCGAGTTTCATCCAACTCTTTCTACATCTACAATACTCATTAATGAAAATCCTTATTCAAAATGGTTTACCTTTTCAAGGTATTGTTAATGGTCTTAGAAATATTAAGCAATGCTAATGCTCTGTGGTATGTATAAAATTGATTAATTTCTTTTATCAAGCACAGAAAAGTTTCTGGTCAACTTAATAGGGAACGAGAAAATTTAATTGAACTTAGCACCTCCTTCTCCATACATTTTTGTTAATCAAAATTTTCATATACAAACAGACACATACAGTGTCTCAGGGTAGAGGGGTAAGTTGTTTAATCACTATACAGAATGTGCAGTGAATCCATACTTTGTCCAAATATATTTACAGAAATTGGAGAGAAATAGAATTACTGTCCTGGCCTTTGATCTTGAAGTCAGAGCTAGGTTAGTCTTCTGTTCAGGAAGAATGACAATGTCATGATCCTGTGTCTTTCTCTCAGCCCAGTGAGGTATAAATGGATGGGTTTATAGCTACCACACTGACAAGGAAGAACTCATTTCCCTCCCAATTTATGCCCTATAAGATGGCCTTTTTTCTTGTTGAAAAAATCCATTTGTTTTTCTTGCTTTCTCCTTTCCAGATTGCAATTTAAAGTGGGCTGCTGAGGGTAAAGATACAAAAAGGTATGGAATTAAAACTTACTGAGTTCCTAGCAGTGTGCCAGACAATTCCATATACAATACCTCATTTGACCATAAATGAGGGTTAGACAATGTTATCAGATAGGATCAAAGGGATAATGTTTGAGATTACCTGAAGAATAATACGTCAAATAACTTTGAAGATTGTATGACTAGTATGTGGTAGCATTCAAGTATGACCGGCCTCAAACACCTACCATCTTTCCAGTCCATGTACAACTAGTCTAAGAACAGATCTTAGGACCCACCTGGGTGTTAGTATTAAGCTGCCATCAGGTGCTGTGCTCAATTTAACAAATGGTCCACCTTTGGTTGAGGAGATTGGCATCGATGAGTTTCCAGTTCTAGGAAAAAAGGACATATAGACTAAAGAAAAACACAAACAAAAAACATAAGCTACATTTTACATTTTTATTTCTTTAATGCTGTGGACATTCAAAGAAATTATGAGATTCCATACAAAGAGGTCAACATTTTAATACAGAACTTCAAATGTTTTCCTA